CCTGGGATGATGTTTAAAGAGAGATTCTTATTGATACATAGTCAATGCAGAATGACTGCAGCCACGTTGGCTTTGCAGCCACGTTGGCTTTGCAGCCACGTTGGCTTTGCAACGCCCTTGCCCAGTGTTGCAGTCTCCCAAGGGATTGTATTCTAGTCACCTTACATGTTAGAGGAAACTGCAAAACTTGCCTTGTTCCCACTGACCCAATTTTCAGAGACCTTACTCAACACTTAAGACTCAAAGAACCTGAGACCTCAGCATGGTCAATGTTGCCCTGTGTTTAGTTAGAGAAAGGCCCTCTCAGGAGCTCGAACATGAAAAACTATGGGAGCAAACGCTTAGGTTCGAGGATTAACCGTCCCACAGCATCGAGCCCTTTCATAAAGGAGGATCTTCATTCCCTACAGACTGCTCCATGTGCAGTGTAAACTTCCAGATGGTTCCTTTCTGCGTCTAAGTCTGGCACCAAAGAACTGCAGAGGGAATCATTTGCCCCACAGTGATAGAACTTTGCCACACCACTTTCCCCATTTTACAAACTTTCTCAAGAAATTCGTTTGTTTTCTTAACATCTTTCTTCAGACCAGTCTTCAAACTGTGTATTAGGTGAGATATTTTTTAACAACTTTCCCCAACTATTTGATGTTTCTAGGTTCCTGTCAAATTGGGCTAATTAACTTTCAGAGAGAATACCAGACACTGTGGAAAGAGGCACAAATGCATATGGACATGCTCACACATACATATACACATGTATACATGCATTCACTCATACACACACGTATATATACATGTATACATGCACTCATGTATATATGCACATGCATGCATTTACACATGTGTAAATGAATTCACACATGCATACACATGTATACATGCATTTACACACATACATGTATACATGCATTCACACATAGACAAAGACATACACACACACACACACACACACACACACACAGAGGCACATGCACCCCTGTGGTGTGGAGCAGGAGTCATTAAAACTATTCTGTGAAGCCCCAACTTTGCAGATTACATAGTCTCTGTCACAACTAGCTGAAGATGATTATAGACAATATGTCAGCGAATGCACGTGACTGTGTTACAGTGAGATGTCATTTGCAGAACACAGGTGGCTGACCAGAGTTAACCGTGTGCAACATAGAGCAGCATGTACAAAGCCAAGCAGACAAATGGGCAGGTGTCTAGAAAATAACATGATTTGGGGAAAAATAAACCCCACTATATCATTAAAATTATAATATTTCAGGCTCTGAAAAATTGATTAAAAGAAAAGGGAATGAACTTAATTGTGTTATCCAAAGTTCTCCAAAATGAGCCATCTAGATTTTTGACAGCATTTACGTTTTCTGTTGCTTTGTGTTTTGTTTAATACATATCTTCCATGTTTTCCAAATGCTCTGACAGCTCTTTTCGATGATGATGACGGTTTACTTTTCCTTATTGTAATATCTTTGAGAATTACCACGCATGTTAAAGGAACCTTGTTCTAAAGTGGCTACACCCTGCATGTTAAATGCGGTTTTGGCTGTGATAATGCCTGCCAAGTCCTTTGGGGGAGGAAACAGAAAGCTTCAATCAATAAATGTAGTGGGAAAGGCACTTTCTTGCCAAACTAAGATATGTAAACAACTGCAACACAGCATTTGAAGCCTCTAGAAAGAATGACTTTGGAAGTGTGTACCCTACAGTATTTTACTGGTGTAATCTAATTTTGAGATGTTGTCTTTGCACTGGGTAGAAATACTTTAATGTTAATTGACATGAGGTTATTCTTAAATTGAAACAAATATTAACCTGAAGGTACCTAGGATATAAAGATGGAGGAAGCCGAATAATAATTATGTTCACAAATTCACCTCTAATCTCAAGCAACCTGTGATTTTCTCTTTCAAATGGCATGAAAGAGCAGCACAAAATTCACGGCTTTGATCTTTTCCTGCTCAACAGAAGAAGTACCGTCAGCATCCAGATGCTTTGAAGTTTACCAGTATTAAAGACACTCCGGAGATGGTCCAGGCCAGGATTAGTTATACCCAAGCAGTGGATGTAAGTGATAATGTATATACATTATGACTCCGAGAGTGGGCTCTCTTTCAGCGGTGTGATTGAAGCAGAGGGGATCTCAGGCCTGCTCCTTCTGTCGTCCTGAGGATGAAGGGTCCCCTTGTCTTTTATGAAGCTCCCCTCGGCAGGGTTGCTTCCTCATTAGGATGCAAATGGGGCGTTCCTGGACTCAGCGTGCCAAGTGGGGCTCTGCACCCCACTGCCCCCGATGCCTCCTTCCTTGCATTTGCATAGCTTGCAGATTTGTGGCCACAGGGCCTTTTTCCCCTTTTCCTTTTGTTCCAAATGTTGTTTTCAGAGTTAGAACTTTGAGTAAAATTCTGTCTAATTGGAATGAGGAGGCCGTGCTTGGGGCTCTTTGGGATCTGAGGGCAGGGATTGACATTGTGTTCTCATTTTCCCAAGCTTTTAAAAAAATGATTTGAGTCTGATTGTGGATATTAGCCTGACTTCAAGCTACTTCCCATATTCTACATATTTCAGGAAACCAAGATTTGACCCATGCTCAGTTCACTAGTGACTGAATGGAACACTGAGGTCTTAAAAAGACTCCCCTAAACACAGGAGTTAATTGGCTGCTATTACTGAGCAAAGTCTGCAGATCTGTGTGTAAGACAGACTTGGCTTTGAAATATCTTAAAATATCCAACTTCTGACACACAAAAATATTTACAAACCTTGGGGATCCAACTTTCAAAATTCCCTCTACGGCTTTATAGGAAATTCAGGTTGTGTCTTTCTATAGGCACCCCCCAAAGGGCCTGCCTGGGTGCTCTTCAGGCTGTGAGGTGGCATGAGTCCTGTACTTTGGTTTTGGAATTGATTTCCTGTTTACCTGCTCATTAGAATCTCATTGCATTTCTTGAAGAAGAAAAACACTTGCTGTGTCCTCACCCTAACCAACTCTAGGGGGCGCTGCTGTGATATGTAGAACCTTGGGCATGTCTGATGGGTGCTGGGATGGAAAAACACGATTTAGAAATTTTCTTAGGTGGTTTGCTAACTCTGTATGCCATCTAGCAAACTCGTAGGCTGCCCAAAGCTCACTCCAAGTTCTGGGAAAGGAAACCTGAACTTACTGGAGGGATATTGATTAGGTCAGGGACCCCAGATGTGGGGAAGGGAAGAAGATAGAGGTGGGCTTGGAAGCCTCCCTGCAGAATGGTCATTGTCAGTGCACCTTCTGGGTCCCTAGTCCCTATTGCATAGCTCGAGGTGACTAGTCATGTGAGTCAAGAGTGGCCAGAACTCATTTTCCCCAGTTGATGCTTGTCTCAGCGGTGCTTAAGAGTGTAGCATTGGTGGCGGGAAAGTTTCCATCCGTCATGCTCTGAGGTTGGAAAGTCGAGCAGAGAGTGACATGAGTGTCACTGTGCCAGCCGTTAGAGATCTGGGTGGAGGCAGGGTGCCGTGATCAGGTCTCTACAATGATTCAGCAGCTGCAGGCCCTCTGTATCCTGGAATACATCGTGGCTGCTGGCTGCATAGGGGAGGCTCAGGGTGTAATGCAAAGTCCTCTCTTGACCCACAGAGGTTGTATAGGGAGCAAGGAGAAAACATAAAGCACCACTACACGCCGACTGTGGACTTGCCTGAAGTCCTGCTGGCCAAGCTGAACGCCATGAACATCAGTGAGGTGAAACTTCTGGAGGGATACTGGGTTCAGAGACAGGAGGGTGGGGTGCCCTCATGGGCATGCATGGTGCCCTGCACTGTCACTGTGTTGACATTTATGGCTTCTCTGAACAAGGGAATCCACACTTGTGTTTGCACTGGGCCCTGTGAATGATATAGCTAGTCCTGTGCAAGACCCAAGCTCACTGAGAAGACAGAGACAGAAGCACCCGCCTTCCTGCCAGGTCCTTTGTAGATAGGAGCTGAAATGCGGAAGCACCTCAGGAAAGCTTGGTGTAGCTGGTGGCTGTGCCAAGGACACATTCGGGGACTTAAACTCTTCCCACTCAGTCGTTTCTATAAGAACCCTTCTGTCCTTCCTGGTCTTCAGTTGAGGCATTTGGCTGTTCTCTAACTTGTGTAGTGAGCTGTACAAACACACCCTTATGCCTTCATAACCCACTGAGCTTGCTGCTCGGTAAGATCTAGGTCTATCAGACTCCAAAACCTTTGCTTTTAACCAGCCCCCTCTACAGCTTCACCTGCCAAGGGTGGGTGGAAGGCGGGAGCTGACTCTTGGATAATCCATTCTAAGCCACAGTGATATCTAACCCCCAGATGGGGCTGTGGGGGGCAGGGACCCACTGTAAACTAGATTCCTGTTGGAGAAAACCAGAATTTAGGAGACCATCAGATTTGTGCTTGTCTCCCTGCCAGTCACGCTATAAGGAATCCTGGAGCCGACTTCGGGATGGTGGATACAAGCTGAGGTTGGATGCCCTTCCGTTCCAGGCAGCAAAGGCGTCGGGTGAAATAATAAGTGATGTGAGCATCCAAAATCCTGTGACAACTCTAATCTAAACCTGTTTGCAGTTCTTTTACCTCTAACTCTTGCCTTCTTTTGCCTGTGGATATAATATCCTCTCCTGTCCGAACTGACTGTGTTAGGGCAACCTGATAATGACCAGCGCGAGAGAGTGCATCTTACACAAAAAATTCCCCAGCCTAGGGCACAAAGCCAAATGCCTGACTGTAAACATGGAACCTGGGCAGATGAAATGCACCCTCCACCAAGAGTTTCCATAAAGCTGGCCTGTGAAGAGCCCACTAACAATGCCTGCACCTTCTCCCAGCTTGGGCCGCCCAAGTGCTAACGCTTTTCCCGTTTCAAATAGGAGCCCTTTAGTCATTGGGAGTCTTGCATATGAAAGAATAGACTTTTTGACAACTCCTGCGCGGTTTCTTTTAACTCACCCAGTTACTGTCAAAAGAACAAAACATTTTCGCCCAGTACCCACCTCTTCCATTCTGTGTCCCTTGTCCCTGAGCCGTCGGTCTCTCCCGCTCTCTTTCCCTTTAGTACAAATACAAAGAAGCATTTGAGAGAATGAAAGGACAGATGCTTGGCTCCCGGGGCTTGGAAGATGACCTCAGCCTCGCACACGCAGTACACGCGACCTCGCTTCAGAGTGGCGTAAGTGGGAGGAGATGGAGGGAGCTGTGGGGCCCACCTGACGATGCTCCTGGCACGGCCTCACGTTGCCAGCCTCTTGGAAGTGGGTGATGCTTCTGTTGCTGATTTGCTGTGTACAGTTATGAAATCACTCCTGGGTCTCAGCTTCTTCCACCATAAAATGAGGTTGGATTTGTGTGGCTCCTAGTTCTTTTCTGGGATGGGCATTCTTGGATTTGGATTTAGGTGGTCTATGGGATGTGTTTGGCCTGCAGAGATGTGTATGTGCGTGTGTGTGTGTGTGTGTGTGTGTGTGTGTGTGTGTGTGTGTGTGTGGTCTACAGAGAGAATTCCTGCAAATGTGTAGAAATGGAAAAAGATTTATATGAGAAGTTCTAGGTTGCATGTTATTAGATAGACTGGATTCCTGGAGGCTACAGTCAGTTGAAGTGTTTCACAGTGGAGATGTGGAGATGGAGTATGTACTTGGCCAGATATACTCACATGCACACACACACACACACACACACACACACACACACACACACGTACGCATGCACACACTCACGCACACACATGTGCATGCATGCGGGCACACATACACACGCACTCACACACACACATGCATGCGGGCACACACACGCACACACGCACGCACGCATGCATGCAGGCACACAACACACACGCACTCACGCACACATGCATGCATGCGGGCACGCACACGCACACACACATGCATTCATACGGGCACACACACCTCTTCATTCTTATTTGTGCTCACATAAATGTAGGCACCTGGTTTGCTACTCCCCTCTGACAGTTAATGTGATCCTGTGGACTCTGGTACACATATGTATACACAACCTCCTTGCGCATGTATGAGGGATAAATGTTAGGGGTGAAAGCTGTGCCCAACATGTTACAGAGGTCTAGCCTATGTGTTATCTCATTCAGCTGCCAAACTGTCACTCCAGGATCTCCACTTTACATTCATTCTGGCTTATTGATAAGGAGGTCAAGTCGGAATGGTTCAGTCCCTTGCTCAGAGTCAGCTAGAAGGAGGCAGGCTCCGGCATGGAGGCAGTGCGGCTCTCTCTCTCTCTCCCCACCTTCCTCTCCCTCTTTCCCCTCCCCCAGCTTCATTTGTTCTCTGCCACTTTTCTGTCTCTCTCCTTTTTCCAACTGAGCTTTCTGTCTTGGGTTGCTGACCTCTGAGGATGGAATTAGATGGAGGCCTTGGCCTTGTTCTAACGGTGAGGATACAATCAACGACACCAGAGTGGGGCCTTGGGCCAAGTGGTTGGGTTGAAGTGTCAGAGGACAATGGGGACCTGAATTCAGAGGACTGCCAACTTCACACAGTTCCTCCCCAGGCTGGTGGGGCTGGAATGGGCTTCTCCCTCATCTTTCAGGATATACGTTGGGCTTAAGGGATGAATATCTATCCTCAGAACTGGCTTTTCAAACAGCCGGCTACTCCTGCCGGCTCTAAGATTGACTAGGGCATCATGTAATGTTTGATGAAGCTCTTTGCCAGGTGGGGTACAGGAGATACTTCAGCAGATACTGGGCAAAGGTGGAGCACAGGTTGCCCAGGAGCGTTCTTGACACTCTAAAATGGGATGATCTAGGAAACAGAGCAAGGGAGTCATTGGCATTAGATGTCTCTTGTCTGTGTTTTCCCCTGGTAAGGGAGCCATAACCCCCGAACCCAGGCCAGTGACTTCCAGGGACCAAGAGTTTCAAAGTCAGGAGCCAGACTCAAGCATGCTCATTAGGTCAGTGTCTGCAAGGAGGGAGTAGGGCCTGCATCGTGTCGCTGGTGGAGGGACAACAGCATCAGAGTCGCTCTCCCTGATGGTCCTGTGCAAGTAGTCGCTTTGAAATAGTGGCTGTCGATCTGTCTGCCCCTCTAGGTGAATTATAAGAAAGCCTTTGAACACTCAAAGGCTCACTTCCATCTGCCGCTGGACATGGTAACCTTGGTGCATGCCAAGAAGGCTCAGACCCTGGCCAGTGACCAGGACTACAGACATCCGCTCCCCCAACACACATCCTTGGCAGAAGACCTGAGGCTGAGCTGTGCCAAGAAAGCTCACAAGTTGCAGAGTGAGGTAAAGAGCCCGGGCCTCTCCATCAGGGCCTTCTCCTGGCAGCACATATCACAAGGCAGGTCCCTCAAGTTCCTTTTGACTCCATGAAGCCTCCAGAGGTCAGGAATCCTAAACTCTTCTTAGCCTAAGAGCTTCCACACAGTCCTAATGCACAACTAATTACAGTGCTCAAGTGAGATCATCATGTTCCTTGAGTATTTCTGCTGAATTCAAAGCGTTGAAATGACCTCATCTAACCCTCATAATATCCCTGCATCAACAGTCCTTACTGTTCAGAAAAACTGTACAGGACACAAGGAGGGAAATGCCACATGGGATTTCGGGTTTTCAGGATTTCCCGGTTTTGTCCCCGGTCTCAGGCTGAGTGGAAACCCTTCACTCCTCTGGTGACATGTCCAGCCCCCAATACCTGCTCTGGAAAGCAAGGAGGCAGGCACAGGAAGTTAGACAGTCTCATGTTCCTGCAGAAGTGAGGCGTGTCCTACCCAAAGACAGCAGCACCCTTGGTACCTGTCTTCCTTCCCAGCCTGCTGGGTTTGCCTCTTCCAGGCATGTGCAGGCAACAAGACCCGTGGAGGAAAGTGAGACCTCTGTCTTGGTTCAACAGTGTGTGCAAGGCAAGCAGTGCTCAGATGTGGAGTCTGTCATCCCTTGGAACGCTGAGTGACATGCGCTGTCAGGAACCTGAGTGCAGCTGTAGGGATGAGGGAACTGCCACACTCGTCTCAGGCCATTTGTCACTTATGCAGAGCCCTGATGCTTACCCTGTCTGGTGCTGTGGTGACAATTGGAAGGCAGCACACCCAGGGGGTGCTTTGCTGGCTGAGGGGAGTAGATTTGGGGACCCTTTAAACTGTCATTCCAAATCACTCAGGTGGTCCTTGCTTTCTCATGCAGGTGTGGACTCGAATGAGTCTTTGCCAAGTTATTTTGGATTAATTCATTAGTTCTTCCTTAACCCATGATTAATTAATACCGCCCGCTGCTGCTGGCTTTTGTTTGAAAGATCAGTTAAACCATTTGTACATTTGCCCCAAGACACCTGACTTTCTAGCCACAATCCTCTCCAGCATTTATGGTTTGATAGCCCACATTAAAACAAAAATCCATCCGGCATCCCTGTCACAGCTACTCACAGAGAAGTGACAGCTGAATGATTTCCTTCTGACCCGCATTTTCCCCAGATGAGCCTTTACTGAGAAGCATGTACACTGTTGTTGAGCGGCACCACATCTGTCCAGACAGACCGATGGCTGCCTGGAGTTCTGGATGTGCGATTTCAGACAACGTCCCAAGACCCTGACTTCTCTGCTTCTTTGTTCAGAGTTTGGCTTTTCTGATGTTTGTGTATTCCTTGTAGAGTCTGTACCGTTCGGACTTGAACTTCATGCGTGGCATTCCCTGTGTTATTCCTGGCACACTGGAGATTGAAGGAAGAAAGAAAGCATCTGAGCTCATCAGCGAGGTAACACGGGACTCCAGAGTGGGTGATGGCAGTGTGGGAATCCATGGCAGATGTCCCAGTGGATCTGTGTCCCCCTGCTCAGGCAGCTGGAGGTTAAGCTGTCACCTCTTGCCTGAGGTACTCATTCTTACTGGAGTTTCCATTCAGACCATTTGAGAAAGCTTGCTGGGGACTGCGAGATGGCTTAGTAGATGAAGCTCAATGAGCAAGTGGTGAGGATCTAAGTAATGATCCCCGACACTTACCAAAATAGCCAGATACCATGGTGTGTATCTGTAACCCCAGTTCTCTGGAGGGAGGCAGGAGGATCCCTGGATCTCACTGGCTAACAAGTCTAGCTGAATCAGTGAGCTCCAGGCTCAGGGAGAGACCAGGAGTGGAGGGTGGTAGAGGAAGACACCCAACATTGACCTCTGGTTTTTATGCACATACATGCACGCATGTGCACACACACATGCACACACACACACACGTACACACACACAAGAATATCAAGTCAGTTCCTCTATTAATACATAAGACTAGTTCATGAGCTAGTAAGATGTACTTTTTCTAGGTCCTTCAAAGGGCAACCCTATGGTACAATGGAAAGCAGGCAGGTTTTGGAAACCAACAAATAAGGGATTGAAATTCTAGGTCAGCTCTCATTTGCTTTGTGACCTCAGCCTAGTTACCTGTCCTTTCTGATCCCTGCTTCAAAATTAGTCACATGGGGTTACACAGAACGCCTCGGTTTGGCTTTGTAAGGACTGGCACTGATTTAAACCCAGTGTTTCTCTGACAGCTGTGTTTGAAATGGCAGCTGTGTTCTTGGTGATTTCTTGATAAAAAATAGTCACAGAATTCTAAGCTCTCTAAGTGCACGGGGAGCCTTACTTATCCCAAGAGGTGACATGCGTTGATGTTCATGGTGGACTCAAGGACAGGGATGGAAGTAGTGGGAATAGTTGGATAGATGTTTGGCCCCAGTCAGCAAGCTAAGGGTGGACAGTGCCCTGTGGGAGCTCAGGGGCCCTGGGCTCAGCATTTCCAGAACAGTGTTTGCATCGAAGCTCTTCATAGCCCATGCCCATCAGAGTCCTATGTGTATCTTCAAAGAACCCAGAGAGGCTGGGCTCTGCCAGTGGCTTTCTGAGTCCTGGTGCAGGCAGGTGGGGTGTTTGTGAGGGGTGTGTGTGTGTTTGTGTGTACCCAGGGTCTAGATGGTATTCCTCAGGAACCATCCACCTTGCTCTTTGAGGCAGGGTCTCTCCCTGTCTAAGCAGGCTGGCCAGTGAGCCCCAGGGATCTGCCTGTCTCTGCCTCCCTGGTGCTGGATTACAAATGTGAAACCCCACATCCAGCTTTTCTCTTGAGTGTGGGTTTGAAGGACCACA